AATGGTAGTGAAATTAAACAAAATAATTCATCAGCAAAATAATTAAACATTGAATTCTATCTGTACCTGAAGAAGTACATTTTAGTTCGCAACAAACAGGATTTTGCGCCATCAAATAATCACAGAATTAATATAGAATCAACAAGGAACAATAAACGCTATCAAAACACAAAAACAATTGTCAAATTGATTTAAAATTGAGAAAAACATTGCGTAACGTGTACAAAAAATTCAGATGAATTGACAATGCCCTTTTTTTAATAGACACAATCAAAATTGTAGGTGGTAATTTAGAAAGAATTAAATGCGGAAGGAGTTTGTAATCAATAAATAGCTTTCACAACGTCATAGTGAGTAGATAAAATGTGAAACGCTTAGTTTTAATATAAATCGAGGCGTTGTCTACATATATCCATGTCAGTGTATTTTTCAGACAGTGATGAAGCGAAAATTTTTAACGCGAGAAATCAACGTGGTTTCTGTTTCGATGCTAGAATTGGTCGTTAATATTCATTGGAGGCCTGACAACTTCTAATATCTACTTTTTTTTTTTGCAACTGTCTTATTGGTTTGGAAATAAAACGGACCATAGCAAAAAACCTCGCTTCCTAAGGGTAGCGTGCCGTAAGCAACTAAGAAGTCTTGAAGAGTTCTTATGGAAAGTACTTTATTTTTTTAGTTACAACATAAAAATATCCAATTAGTAATTCTAATAGTACATTTAACTAGAAAATTTCAGTATAATCCAACGTGATTAAAGAAAATTGGCTTATGGTAGGTACCTTATTAGTAACTTTAAGCGCTTAGGGTAATGTCGAGCGCATTTCTATCGCCTTTTTATTTAAAAGTTGTTGTTGAGTTGTTACTCTAAGAAATTATTCTAATTTTAAAATACAAATATTTATTGTTTATTAATAGAATAAAAAATCTATAGGCATTTAAATGAATTTATTTACAAAATTTTTAAATCACAATTATGATTAAATTTTGGAATGTTGCTATATAATACAAATAATAAATCTATACAAATAATTGCCAACTGCAGTTAGACTTTTAGAGATATTTTAAGAGGGACGCTGCTGGCCATCCCTCATTCTCCCTTAGTCGCCTCTTACGACACCCACGGGCAAGGAAGGGGTGGTCCATTCTATGCCAGAGTACACACAGCGATAGTATATAATAGTAATAATAATATAATACGTCATTATTATATTTACATAAACCGTACCACAAAGATGACAAATTGTAATTTTAAAGAGTTTAACTGCGCTATTAAGCAATTTTAGTGTAGCAAATTGACGTGCGTGCACGCAACTTTTTTTTTATTTGACACTCGTATATTGTTCACAATTTGCTTTACGACCCTATTAAGATAACTATGTTTATGATTCCAAATTGGTATCTTACTCACATAACGAGATTATTTCACTTGTCATCATCAAATGATCGTCAGTAGGTATTTTTTTGTAACAAACGATAAGAATATGCCTATATATATCTGGTAAAATATATTATATATATATAATATTTTACCAGAGGGAGACTTTGTACAAAAGTCGATTGCTTGGGTACCTCTGTCCCATTCGTGTTTCAATCGTGAAGCAGTTGTGTTTGCATGGCTGTGTTTCGGTTTAAAGGGTGGCATATGGCGTGAATTTACTGGGTACAGAGGAATAACACCTGAGTCCTCAGGAATGGCAACGCGTGGGGAGTATCATGGGCGAAACAGTATACTCTGTTATGTCCATGGTACTGCTCATGTCTATAGGCGACGGTTACCACTTTACATCAGGTGGGCCGTCAGTTTGTTTGCCATTCTAAGTTGTATAAAAAAAAATATGCCTTGCGATTCTTCTGACGGATTTTATAAGATTTTTGCATGAACCTTCCTACTGGTAAGAACTTCTCTCATATGCTTTCTTAATTTTCTAAGCATACACTTAATTATTATTATAAGTACTATCCATTGTTACATATCGCATTTTTAGCAGTAGCTGCTTGTAACTATCTTTGTATACGTCGGATTTCGCCTAAAACCACGAAAAGAAGAATTGCTTACCGATAAATTTTCCAAAATTGGTCATTTAAATTTTATATTTCCAAATATAAGCTACAAAAGATATGCAACTGGATATAAAATTTGCCAAGATTTTTGTTAATTTGTGCTCCAAGTAGTAGTTACATAAACATATAACTTACCAGTTATGCAAATTAAAGATGAATAAAAATTAATTAATTACATGATCATTTATCGAATACCTTATTGAGACAAGCTAATTATTTTTTAATAAAAATAAACACCGCCTTGTTCGAATAGCGAAGCTTCTATTAGAGTAGGTTCGATTAATTTTAAAGACGATTATCATACATGTGAGTGTGTGCGTTTGTAAATAATCCTACAACACGAATACACAACACACACACACACACGTGTAATTAAACGAGCCTGAGACCTTCACGCTGTTCTATTAGGATTGTAGTTGTAACTTTATATGAACAGGCATATTATTCTACATTTAGATAGATTCCCAAAGTATAAAATTTAAATTGACAAGTTACCTTTAGAAAAGCAAAAAAAAAAAAAACAGTGACTTTGATCGTAAAAACATTCAAAAACAATGAATGACGAGATGTAAAAATACAAATTTGAATTTAGAATGATTATATTAGAAGTAGAATCCGTGTGATCTCGGCATAGAATGGGTCACTACTATTCTTTTTGTGTGGTGTCGTAAAAGGCGACCAAAGGAACTCAATGGTCGAGAGACGTACAGCAGCGTTCCTCTTAAAACATCACCAAAACCTAATTGCGGTTGTCAAACCATTTGCCAAGCGTGAAACTTACTGGTAAAACTCCCTTTATGGGGAAGGCCTATATTTAGCAATGGACAATTAACAGCTAAAATAATAATAATATTAGACATGGACTTTAATTCACAACAAGCCAATTACATAAAATTAATATTGATTCAACATGGGTAAAGTCTAACGATTACTAAAAGATATCATTTTCGCTTTTACTTTTTGCAGTACAAGTACATTTGCATTTCCATTCCAAAATAGAGTAAATTGAAAGCATATAAAGTTGTAGTAGGAAAGAGAAAAGTTAAATTGTTTAGACATAATAATAAATAATACGGTGAATAGAAACCACGACAATCACTGAACAAAGCGACAATGCCGCAATGTGCACAAATAAATGTAAGGGCCACATCATACATGGCCCGTGGTTTTGACAACCATTACGACGATTATCAGAGGCGGAAACATGGTAGGGAATGGAAGGAGAGGCAATATTAGTACTATTACATCAGAATGTATGTACATAATATAGGGAAAACTCTTCATATCTCTGTCTCAAAAAACAACAAGACCATGGCTAGGATTTGTGTGCGGATTAAAAACTTTGACGCAACATCGAATTTCGAAAAACAAAATTCTCGATCGTCGATACTAAAAGTGTCAAGTCTAACTTGGCCCTAAATCTATGAAGCGTCGAATCCAACATGGCAGACTGTTGACGCGCCACTTCTGGCATAGGCGTCTAGCGTCAACACAACTCACTCCATACATCTACAGATGTTCAACTGTCATATTTTTAGAAGAATGGGGTCAATGGTTTCCAACAAGTTCTAACCACCTACGAATATATTTACAATTGTAGGCACCAATTGCCCTATACACGCAATGTTTTGAAAGGTCTGCCCATAATTGTCGACAATAGTATTAGGGGTTCTACTTTAGGTTTGATTGATGTAATATTATATACTTTTGTATTGAAATTATTGAATTTTAGACAAAAAGAATACAAATAAAGCCTTTTCGAATAATTAATGTTGACACTTATATTTTAAATTCGGGGATGTCCAACTAGTCTCGAACTCATAAGAGTTCTTATTCTATTATCATCAACATTTAGGCATACCTGAATTTAAAACATGAGTAAAGCTGACATAAATAATTTACGATAGTTATTATTTAACAAAAACTTTTTTTGTAGTAAGAATTATTTAAAAAAATGAAAATTGCCACTTGGAATTATATATTCATCATTCCAAATAACATAATAAAATACATTAATTTGATACACTATAATCATAATATCACAAATAATGTTTCTTTTTCTATCAATATTTTACCTCTTAAAATAATTATTAATAGTAATTCAGACATAATTATAAAAAAAAGCAATTTCAAAACAAAGCAACACAAAAACTTCAGTATGTTATATTTTGTAATCTTACAATCACTATAACAACGTTTAAAAGGACATAAGTAAGAGTTACGTAGTGATATAATATATATACACACATACACGTATATCTAGCAACAAATAGTATGTTGGTATATGTTTATTTACATTTTCAACCGACTTCAAAAAGAAGGAGATTCTCAATTCGTTTTTTTAATGTTTATTATTTCATAATTCCGTCAGTAGTAAAACCAATTTGTAAACTTCTTTTTTTATCTGTTAGGATATACTTTTGCATTAGTTTCATAGAAGTTGTACAAAATCAAAATTAGTATAATAGTTTAGTTTTTTAATGAAAATAAATGGTTTTGCTACAATTAAATTACGAGTATTAAAAATGTATTCATTCATAATTTACGTTTATGAAACAATTACCAATTTATGATAAAGTCTTATTTAAACGCCACTCATAAACAATAAAAATTTGTACGGATCCCTACAATACAAACGAATAATCAAAAATATTTATATATAAAGGAATATTCACAGAGTACGCTATCAAAGAAACTGAACGAAAAGGGCTCCCATCCTACATACACGTATGAGCAGTATCAGTTTAGGAACACAATGCTTGACTGTAGTCTAGAATGAACCATTAAGCATTAAGAATCTTAAAATCGAATCCCAGGAATAAACTTTTGATTTTTTTTTGAATTGTGTCAAAGGACACGTAACGCTATCGTACAATAAGCCATCAATCAGAGGATTTGGAAAATAACGATTATAAAAAGTTACCAATTTCACTGACCTGACCATACGCGAGTACAGTAGCGTTGTAGCCGTCGAGTGCAAAGCTTCCACCAGCTTCCTCACGCAAGTGTCGTACACATCCTGCTGCGTGATGTGAGGATCGAAGGCATGAGTCGAAGGAGAACGCGCGTTCGGTGCCCAGCGCCACGCCGCCCTCGCCCGCGGCACCGCCAGCTCGT